ACCAGATTTTAATATTGAGTTTTGGATTAKTGGAGTACTTAGCTGAACTGAGATATAAAGTGAAAGATTTCCACTTTTTTGAAATTTTTAAGGGAACAAATTTAAAACTCAGATCCCACATTCATGGAGAGCATTATACCTGCCGATTAGATAAGGGATGTATGTAAAAAAACAAACCGAAACCAAAAAAGCCACACCAAAGCTGTTCAGAAAACATGGTGTTGCTTATCGACTTTTTCGATATTCGTGGTTTGGTGCATCACGAAGTTGTTCCGGAGGGACAGACAGTCAATAAAAAGTTGTATTTTTCTGTATTGAGGCCATTGCGTGAGAACATCCCTAGAAAACGGTAGGAATTGTGAAAGAAAATTTCATGGATTTTGCACGATAATAATGCGACATCGCATCGATTTAATAATATCAATCAAGCATCGATTTCACCAGTTTTGGCTTCGTTTATTTCCTTCTTGTTCCCCATACTGAAATTGTGGAACCCGTTTTCAGTCAATCGAAGAAAAATATATATGAAAAGTGTTACGGAGGCTGGAAAAAGCGTTGGCCTMAGGGCAACTCATCTGGTGGGAATTAATTTGAAGGCGGCAAAATAAATGTTTATTTCCGGGAGTGTTTTTTTTTTTGTTTAGGTATATAAGGCTTCCCAAAAAAAGTATGTTATAGTGTAAGATCCCACCATASTACGACCATCACCCATCGTATTACGGGATGAAAATAATTGTTATATACAATTTATTACATTAAAATATTAATTTGGAGGAGATTGACTGCAAATTATAATGCTAAGTGTAATTATTTAATAGTTTAAAAAGATTTTTTGTAAAAATTACACCCACTCTCTTACGCAATAAGCTATAGACTAATTGAAAGTATATAGCTTATAGAATATGCAAGCACTGGGTTGTCTGGTTTTCACAAGGGTAAATTGACAATAGTGATTTGCAACTATCCACTTAYGTGATAAACCTTATATCAAAATAAAGATAATTTTATTGCGAGTATAATGATACAAGGTTGGCTGCGAAAAATTAGTGCTGAATCTGGGTTGTTGAATTTTAAAAAAAGTCAGCTGCACGAATATTTCGTATGAGTGTAACACAATATGTCACCGAATCGAATAAGTCTGTTTGTCAAGATTATTGTTACTAGTACCCGTTAAATGTGTGTCGCCCAATTCCTTGCGACCCTCGCGGAACTTCTTCACAAATGTAGTCGAAGTATCGTCACACATTCAAATTTGTTTGTCTACTTATTCAGGTTATATTATCGTGACATTTTCGTAAACGTCATATTTCTGACAAACTTAGCGACTGAGTAAMAGAGCCTGTTGTTTTAAGCTGTTGTATCTTATAGGGGAACGTGTGAATGTGTTATAACTGTTTCTTATGTACTATATGGTTTACATGTTTAYTCGTTTTTCTATACTTGGACTTACCTCTGACACTTGTCACTAAATACTGTGTTGTTGGCGCTGTCTTCCAATTGTAAACAGGCTGCCAACAGGAGCTGCTGCCCGCACCACATACGCCACAGTTGTCCAGC